TGCGCAAATCAACGGGCAAGGAAGGGGTCCCATTTCTCGGGTTCTGGGCCGTTTCTCATGGTTCTTCCTTCTTTCGTGTACCACTCACCATCCCTAGGTTAATTTGAAATGGGTTGCTTTTCCAGCGTGAATTCGTCCTTTAAGACTTATCAGGGAAGGCTTTTGAAATTCGGATCCCATGAAAGTTTGGAGAGACCCATTCAAGAGAATAAGGTTAAGAATACTGGTTACAAACATAGAGACCAAAATTGCCACGTGGTTTTTTCACATAATCTGCTAGCAGTCGAAGCTGGCGAAAATGCAGCAAAAAAAAACATGGGGCTCTTAACCGACACAAGATGGCTCCTTTGTCAGAAATTAGTGAACAAGGTGGGCGAAATCATGAGGACAACGTGCGCGCGCGGTCATATCCACTTTTTTCCTGGGCTCCATTTTCATCTCCTTTTCTGTGCACTATGTGAAGGGTACAATGTCTTCTTCCTAATGAAACCAAATTTCATGCAGTTCTCAAAACTAGTGAAATAACTACATTCACTTTAAGTCAGTCCTCAAATTGAACTCACTAGGGGCTCTGGCACGTTACATCTAGCGGCAGTCTAACGTATCAGGGAAGCTCTTATGGGCAACAGTTCAACTCTTCAATAAGTTTGGAACCACCACAGATGGAAAATTCGGAGACTCGAAAGTTACAGTTACCACCAGGACAATTATCAGATGCAGAAACTCACTCTCCTCTTCTCAACTTCTAATCCACAAAATGAAAGAATCGATATAAAAATCAGCTTAGCATCCCAGCGACTCCACCTCTCGTTGATGGAAAGCAACTCGAAATACATCAATTGGAAGTTTTTACAGGACAGAGCACTCAATCATAAAGCAAAAATTGTGCTAGAAGCGATTTCTCCAGTTCAGTGCTTTCGAGGAGTTGAATTGTGGTGGATACGTGGATTGGCTGTTGACCCTGACACCAACTGTCCGACGCGAAATTCACAACAATTTATTAGAAAACAGAACAGAAAACAAAGAATACAGAATCAGAGTTAGTCCAGGATTCCTTCGATGATGTGCGAAGGGTCGTCCTTCAGGTCGACAGAGGGGGGCAAGGAGAGGCCGCCCGCGGGCCACACAGAGACGAACTGACGGTGGCTTTCTGCCGCCCGTCATCATTGACTGGGAGATCACGCGCGTCGTGATCTCTTGATCATGGGTGTTTCTTCCCACCCGGACATCCCTCCCCTTCGGGATGCCGACGTCCTCGGCGGCGCGTGCAATGCTGGCAGCTTTGCTGCCTGGGCTGACATCCTTATATTTTCGTACAAGCTTCTGGCATTTGCTGCGCCTGCATATTTCGAGTCTTCTTCTTCTCTTTTCTTTATTCAGTGAACCACGTCACATTACACACGTGTGAGGTGATTTTTATCAGTGTAGGGTAATAGCATTTAAAGGAGGAATTAACGATTAGAATGGGTCGAGGAAGAGGTAATTTACCTAGTTGAGGGACCCACGGACCTCCTGAGGGTGCGAACTGATGCGCAATTCGCATCGAAAAATTTGACCTCGGCGACCTATTATGCCTCAAAGTTGGCGGGTCCGGCGATCTCCGCCCACCGACCAGCTGATCACTCGCCGCAGGTCTATCTCTATCAGGTCCCTGCAGGCGAATCAACGGGCAAGGAAGGGGTCCCATTTCTCGGGTTCTGGGCCGTTTCTCATGGTTCTTCCTTCTTTCGTGTACCACTCACCATCCCTAGTTAATTTGAAATGGGTTGCTTTTCCAGCGTGAATTCGTCCTTTAAGACTTATCAGGGAAGGCTTTCGAAATTCGGATCCCATGAAAGTTTGGAGAGACCCATTCAAGAGAATAAAGGTTAAGAATACTGGTTACAAACATAGAGACCAAAATTGCCACGTGGTTTTTTCACATAATCTGCTAGCAGTCGAAGCTGGCGAAAATGCAGCAAAAAAAAACATGGGGCTCTTAACCGACACAAGATGGCTCCTTTGTCAGAAATTAGTGAACAAGGTGGGCGAAATCATGGGGACAACGTGTGCGAGCGGCGCTATCCACTTTTCTCCTGGGTTCCATTTCCATCTCCTTTGCTGTGTATTATGCAATAGGGTACAATGTCTTCTTCCTATTGAGGCTAAATGCCAGGCAGCTTTCAAAATTAGTGAAAGAACTACATTGCTGTAATTTGCTCCTCAAATTGAAGTCACTAGATGTTCTTGCACGCTGAATCTAGCGATAGTTCAACGTAACTGGGGAACTCGTATGGGTAACACTTGAACGCTTCAATAGGACGGAACCACCACATAAGGAAAATGCTGAGATTCGAAGGTTACATTTACCTCCAGGACAATTATTACATGCGCATACTCACTCTCCTCTTCTCAACTTCTAATCCACAAAATGAAAGAATCGATATAAAAATCAGCTTAGCATCCCAGCGACTCCACCTCTCGTTGATGGAAAGCAACTCGAAATACATCAATTGGAAGTTTTTACAGGACAGAGCACTCAATCATAAAGCAAAAATTGTGCTAGAAGCGATTTCTCCAGTTCAGTGCTTTCGAGGAGTTGAATTGTGGTGGATACGTGGATTGGCTGTTGACCCTGACACCAACTGTCCGACGCGAAATTCACAACAATTTATTAGAAAACAGAACAGAAAACAAAGAATACAGAATCAGAGTTAGTCCAGGATTCCTTCGATGATGTGCGAAGGGTCGTCCTTCAGGTCGACAGAGGGGGGCAAGGAGAGGCCGCCCGCGGGCCACACAGAGACGAACTGAACGTGGCTTTAGACCGCCTGTCATCATTGACTGTGGAGATCACGCGCGTCGTGATCTCTTGATCATGGGTGTTTCTTCCCACCCGGACATCCCTCCCCTTCGGGATGCCGACGTCCTCGGCGGCGCGTGCAATGCTGGCAGCTTTGCTGCCTGGGCTGACATCCTTATATTTTCGTACAAGCTTCTGGCATTTGCTGCGCCTGCATATTTCGAGTAGAC